ATAATGACACTGAACTAAATATTTATATAGAATATCTCATTAATTTTAAAACAATAACATAAGGTAAGTAGTATTGTTACCCCTATTTTACAGATAAGGAAAATGAGACTTATCTTAGTGGGCTAGAGAAACTTGTTAATGTCACATAGCTAATAAAAGACAGAGCAGAAGTTGAACAGGCGAAGGCAGCAGCTATTATTATCATATTCTTATCCTCATCATCACCAACATCAACCCATCCCAAGATCTCTTTAGCAGACTAGGCTATAAAAATGAGTTCTTGGGTACTTCCAAAGATAATTGCCTCCCCTTGGAAGAAATCCAGAACAAGCCCACATTAAGCTAAATTCTGCAGTAGAGTGGGCTGTTATACAGTTGGGAGGATTTATTCAAAGCACCTAGAAGGCACATGAAAGATGAATAGATAGAATTTGTCAGATTTTCCTTTACCTTTAAATGTATCCCAGTTCAATGAAAGGAAAAGGGACAAAGTTATTTTGTTCATACTTAAAGACATTTTTAAACATCATTACAGTTAGCTCATCTGGTTGTCAGTCTCTATGGAAACAAACACGGAATCAAAGATAGACATTCACACCTCATACGTAATAGTCCACATTGTTAATGAATGATAAAAATTACAAGAGATTTGAGTGTAAATTTATGAGTCTACAGTGAGGAGATTGAAAATGAAAAGGTGAAGTTCACTTGAGTCGAATTCTGTAAAGCCTTTATTCAAAAATTTTCACTTGTTATATTTCCCCTACTTAATATTTTCAAATAAATGTAAAGTTGTAGTATTTTGGATACAAATAAGATATGTACATTTTCCTAAAAAAAAAAAATATTTCAATGATTCATGATCATATAGGTATAATCATCTAAAAATATTCATATAAAAGATGATAATAATTTCACAGAAACATCATGACATATTTAAATAAATCACAGAAAAACAGAATATACTGTTACTATAAATACATTCTCATTATTTTTTCAAAAACCTGGGTAAAATGCACTTGATTTTTAATAAGAGGAATTTCTAATGTGCTCAAATGACTTTTAACTTTTATTTCATAATTATCATTGAGAGAGTCAGACATTTAAAGTATGCTGTGACTTTTGTTTTAATCCAGTTTAAAAACATGACTGTTAAGAATGTATGCTGTTCATTAATAAATTTAGATATGTTCAAAAAAATTGGACTTTTTTTGTACCTGGAGATTAAACAGTCAATTTGATATTTGAAAGACTTGATAGATAAAGCCAAATACCAGTAGAGCATTTCATAACCAGACTGTTCATGGGAAATCATCCCAATATAACATCTGATGACTAGGGAAATATACTCAAAGCCATTAGATTGTCGCGTTTTCACATCTCAGTACTGTGCTACCTCCTACATGACAATCACATTCCTCCCATGCTATGGAGAAATGAAATCAAAAGCAAGACCTTATCACCCCCAGTTATTTATCAGCAATTCTCCTTTCACTTCTTGGCATATTTTAGGGTATACCTCAGGGTAAGTTCAGGGACCAGGAAGGATAGCCTTTGAATGGACTTACTTCCCCTTTTATTTATCATATCCTCTTCAGTAGGCTCTCTGACTCAAATCTGAGCAATCAATGAGGAAGGAGAGAGAACAGGTTAAAGGGAATTGGACAGGGAAGAAAGTAGGGATTGTTTACATTTTTAAATGGGTTCATTTGTGTTTATATACCCGTGGTTAACTAATAATCACATCTCTAGTTATAATTGTTTTAATTAGTGAAAATTGTTCTAGTCTTAATTGAAGCCCAATTAAAAATTTTAGGCTCCTAGCAATTGATATGAAATTTGGTTTCAGAGAGCCCTGAGTACCATTACTGCAGATAGCCCTTCACCTATTCACTTTGTCACTGGAAGAGTTACTTAGTTCCTGTGAGCCTCTGAGTAGAGATCTGCAACTAAGGATGACAATAATTACTTCATGGGATCATTGCGATGTGATCAGATTGCTTAGCTTGGGCCTTACACTTAAAGGGTGGTTATTGTTATGATTACTTTGACAGGATACCACTAATTACAACTGAAGACTAGGGTCCTAGTGGCAGTTCAGGAGACTTGCAAGCCTCAGTCACCTTTCACTACCTCTGGTTACCTGTCTAAGATCTCCCTTCTCACCCAAAGCTGTCATTCCTCTGCAGGTTATCTTCCTTCCATATCACAAATTGTAAAGCTAGGGTAGACTTTAATTGCTAATCAGTTGATTAAAGTTATTCGCACAAAGGTATGAATAAGGCTTAACAGAACTGTGGACTCTTGCCTTTTTCAATGCCCACATAATCTATAATTGAGATTTTGGGGGAGCTTTTCTCTCTGTGTGAGGGACAGCTCTGCTACCTCAAAAAAATTAATAATACAGTAAACATAACCATCAACTCTTTACCAGGATAATTTTTAACTGTTACAATGTTATCCGTATGGAACAGTTATTTATAGAGGCAAAAGTTAACCAAATGGATAGCTGTCAAAAGACTTATTACCTATAAATACTATACTGTTTACTTTAAATTTCACTGAAGTGGCTCTTTTAACTCACAGGAAAAATGTTAGTACCACAAGGACAGGGATCTTGTAAGTTTTCTTCATGGATCTATTTGAAGCACCTAAGTGGCACTATAATAAATGTTCAATAAACATTTGTTGAAAGATCAGGGAAAATATACTGTTAAACTCCTGCCCTTTAGAATCTTGCAGAAATAAATAAATGGATAACAATACATAAATAAAAGTAACCATACTTTGATTTATTTAAAAATCACACAAAAATGGCATGTCCTAGGCATTTTGTTTATGAGGACAGCCTCTGACAATTAATTTTGAGTTTGAATTTGGACTGTGTGACCCATTCAATTAAGTGTAAATCACTTAATTTCTCTGTGCCTCAGTTTCCTCTTCTGTAAAATACTGCTATCTCATAATATTGTTATTAGGACCAAATAAGGTACCGAATGAGTAAATGGCCTAAAATTTACTCGCATAACATAAGCACCAATAAATGCTAGGTGTTTTTATTAAAACCTGAAATTTTACTGAGGAAAGTATTGAGGCCCATGAAGTAAAAGACAGCTGCAGGTCCCACAGCCAGTTGTCAATACCAGAACTAAACGGCTGCATTTCAACTCTATCTATGAAAATCTCTCTCTATTGACTGTATCAAGCTGCCTGCTCATGCCTTTATATATACTTTCTAAAACTACTTACAAGGGAGAGACGGGTGGGGGGGGGCGGGGAAAGGGTGATGAGTGTGGTTCACTCTCTCTTGCAACGACTTTTGAAAGATGCAGGATTCCCAGATGCTTCCTGGAAATGACGAGAAAACCTTAAACCCTAAGTTTAGCAGACTTATGCAACTAAAAAATTTTGTTCTTTTTGTTCCCTGAATTTGGGAGCACGCAGATTCAGGAAAACTAAAGAAGTGTCTTCAGGATTAACATAATATTCAGTCACCTAACGCCTCACTTCCTCCTCCGGTCTCACCTCCCTCCGCTCCCTGCTCCCTGCGTTCCCCACAGCTGGTGCTGGGGACCGCGAATGGCTCCGAGTGAGCGCGGGCGGGGGCGGCCACTCTCCGCTGCAGCAGAGGGGACAGAGCAGGTTGGCGGGCGCAGACAAGGAGAAGCGAGGCAACAAGCGCAGACGAAGAGCTCAGCTGAGAGCAGTTTTCCTCCAGGACCTGTCAAGTCAGACCCACGTGTAGACCAGGAGGATCATACAAAGGCTATGTAACCAGCGGCGCCCTCTGAGCGCAGCCTAGATGTGCTTCGAGCCGCAGGTGAGTCATCCTGCCCTCCTTCCCACCGCCCAGTGTCCAACAGGTTGGCCGGGACGCCGCTCCGAGAGGCCTGTGGGTACACTCCTGGTCCCACCTGGGCACAGTGCTCGGCTTCTTCCTTTACCGAGGCGTCGTTACCCTTTAAAGTCCTGCCCCAGCTCATGTCTGTTCTATTCCTTGTCTTTTTTTTTTTTTTTTCTTTCCCTCTCCTAAAATGAGAGCTCCGCTGTGTGCCGGGGAGCGCGTCCAGAATACCTGCTATTTGGGAGACTTGTGGGGACAGAAATGGCTAACCCGTAGGGCTCCTAGTGCCTGAACACGCGGCGGAAGTTGGCAGCAATGACCCTCAGTTCTCAGCGATTCGCTGAGACTTTAATTGAAAATCATCATTAATTATCCTTATTTCTCAACCAGGAGTTCAAAACCTAACGGAGGAGGGAGAAGAAAATGGAGCTTGAGTGACAATCAGAATAGAATAAGAGTGAATGGGAGCAAATGATGCTGCGCCCTCGCCCAGAGCACCCTCCCCTACGAGCTCCCACTCCAGGCTAACCCTCCTGGGGAGGCTGTGAAGTCGCCGCGGTAAAAGAGGAGGAGAGAGTATATATCCTCAGACTGGAAGGGACTCAGGCTCGGTTACCACTTCCTTTGCTTTCTGAACTTTTCGTTTCGCTCTTCTGCGTGCAGGAGGGAGTCTTGTCATCTCCTTGATTGCGTTCCGCCGAAAGTCCTCCTCCTCCAGTCTAGACCTCCCTACCCGTCCCCACCCACTCCCTCTCTCAAGTAACCAGGCTTTCAATCCGTACCCCTTGCAGGCTGGGGATCTCCATTACAAAGTTGGGGAAAGGGGGCGGAAGTCCGGGAGGGCCACGGCGAGTGTGCCCTGGGGCTGTCCTCGCCTTGGACCACACCTGAGCATTTCCCTGGACGCGACCCCTCGGGTCCTCCCATCCTCTGGGCTCCCGCTCTTGGGCGGGGCTACCGCGCACTCTCAGCTCCCTAGCGGCGAGAGGCGGCACGAGCACAGAAGTGGAGAGAGTAGGGGCGCGCGGGTGGCAGGCAACCCCTCCAGAGCCAGAGAAATCCCGGCCGCCACCAGGGGCCGTGCCACAGCCCTCGTGCGACCGAGGCTTCCGGCGCGCCCCCAACTTTGTAGAGCCCTCAGGCAGCAGCGGCCAGGATGGAGCTGCCTCCCCACCGCCGCGCGCTGCTGGATTCGCCTCTTGACAGCGGCTCCCTGACCTCACTGGACTCCAGCGTCTTCTGCAGCGAGGGCGAAGGGGAGCCCCTGGCGCTCGGGGACTGCTTCACCGTCAATGTGGGCGGCAGCCGCTTCGTGCTCTCGCAGCAGGCGCTGTCATGCTTCCCGCACACACGCCTGGGCAAGCTGGCAGTGGTGGTGGCTTCGTACCGGCGGCCCGGGGCCCTGGCCGCCGCGCCCAGCCCCCTGGAGCTCTGCGATGATGCCAACCCGGTGGACAATGAGTACTTCTTCGATCGCAGCTCGCAGGCATTCCGCTACGTCCTGCACTACTACCGCACCGGCCGCCTGCATGTCATGGAGCAGCTGTGCGCGCTCTCCTTCCTTCAGGAGATCCAGTAAAAAAAACCGATGCCTGCTGCAGGGACAGGTACCCAAATGGCACGCGGTGACCGGGCGGGGAGGCGGGCGCGGTGGAGAGAGGGCGGCAGAGGTAAAAATGTGAGGCTTTGCACAAGCCTCGCAGAACCCAGGCCTAAGAATACCTGTGGCCACTTCTGCGCTGGAAGCTGGGGAGGCGGTGCGGGCTGGAAAGCATCAAGGCTGTTTTGTAATTGGAACTTTTGAACCTAATTCTTTTTGGAGTGAATGTATGCCAATTTATTTATAAGGCATGGAAGGTCAGGCCTGAAATAAATATTTGGTGACTGAATAAATGAGTTAGAGAAGCTATGCTCCAAAAGATGCATGTAAAGGGAGCATTATCAGTTATCAAACCGAGGACACTCACTTTAAAAACTTGGACAAGTGCTTTACACATAGAAGATAGAAATTTAATTCCTTAACTTTGATAATGACTTTGCTATTATTTTTCTATTACTACCATTTTTTCATAAATACCTTTCCATTTCTCTCTCTCTCTCTCTCTCTCTCTCTCTCTCTCTCTCTCTCTCTCTCACACACACACACACACACACACACACACACACACACACACACACAAAATTCCATGACAAATTTCTGTTCTTGTTACAAGAAAATGGGAATAAAATACATTAATCTAACATAGATTTGCTATGTATAAATTCTTTTGTATAAACTTCTACCACAATAGTGTCATTTAAAAAATAATATATCTAATGAGAAATTTAGAATTCCATGGGCAAGAGACAGCCTGGGTAAAACATGAATGGACATTTTCTACATTTTACTGAAATAAAAAGCATGACCTCACTGTCAAGTTTAATTCTCTTTTACTTCTGTATTAAAAAAAAAAAAAAAGTTGACTAATCACCAAGTTGTCTTCTCTAAAAGATACTTCAGAAGAAAGGAGCTGAGTGAAACTTTAGACTTTAAGAAGGACACAGAAGACCAGGAAAGTCAACATGAGAGTGAACAGGACTTCTCACAAGGACCTTGTCCCACTGTCCGCCAGAAACTCTGGGACATCCTGGAGAAACCTGGGTCTTCCACAGCTGCCCGAATCTTTGGGGTCATCTCCATCATCTTCGTGGTGGTGTCTATCGTCAACATGGCCCTGATGTCAGCTGAGTTAAGCTGGCTGGACCTGCAGCTGCTGGAAATCCTGGAGTACGTGTGCATTAGCTGGTTCACCGGGGAGTTTGTCCTGCGCTTCTTGTGCGTGCGGGACAGGTGCCGCTTCCTAAGGAAGGTGCCAAACATCATAGACCTCCTTGCCATCTTGCCCTTCTACATCACCCTCCTGGTAGAGAGCCTGAGTGGGAGCCAGACTACACAAGAGCTGGAGAACGTGGGGCGCATTGTCCAGGTTTTGAGGCTGCTCAGGGCTCTGCGCATGCTAAAACTGGGCAGGCATTCCACAGGTACGCAGATTTCATTGATACCTTTTAATTTGCCTTTGTTTGTAAACTTTAGTGCTTTGACCACAATCCAACAAAAGCAACTCTGCATCTATACTCAAAATTAGCAGCCTCCTGATTTTACCAAACCATGATCTCCAAAAAGGTATTGAGAAGCAAAACCTTAAAGTTTTATCATGGGTATAGAGGAGACGATGCCTCTCACACTCTTTTTCTCCGTAAGAGTATTTGAGAAATAATTTGCCCACTTGTTAACCTCAATTTGTTTTATCTCACTGCCCAGACGATGTACAGAAATGAAAGACTCTGCTTCTAGAAGGTTACAGATAAAATATGCATAAACAGCTCATAAAAAGATATGCATAAATTATATATGATACATTAGAATGTGAGCCAGTTTCTCTTCTGTGTCCAAGGATGTGCCTACCACACATGTTCCTTGGCAGAAGAGAAAGTCAGTCCTCCAGAGGCTTCTCTGGCTATGCAGAAAGAGAGATGACCAGGTACTGGTAACCTTCCCATAAGTTTTGAAGAAACAATGGAAATATTTGCTTTGGAAGAAAGCAGAAGACACTAATTAAATATTTTATCTAGGATCTGAGAATTTTCTTGTCCCTGATCTGGGATGCATGAGAGAGATGGTAACAAGAATTCCATAGTTTGGGATGTGTATCATAAAGCCTTGATAATCTAATGAACACTCTCTCTAGAAAAATCTCCATACAACACACAACTGTGCATGAAAATAATAGTCAATGGTGGGGGAAACCACACAAATCCATGAAAGATGATCCTTCCTCTCTGGGGGCAGTGATCCTCAGTGGCCGGCTCTGTAGCTGTTGGATGTTCCAGAGTACATATGTGTTACCTTGCGTTAGACTTTAAAGACAAGAGGAATCCCACGAAAATCTTGTTAAAATGCAAATTCTGTGCCCCAATCCACAGAGAGTCATATTTTAGTATTTGGGGTTGGATCTAGGAGCATACACTTTAACAAGCTCACAAGTGATTTTGATGTAGGTGGTTCTTGGACCACGCTTTGAAAAACACTGAAGGAGGACGCCATGTTAGTATCATACATATTAATGTAATACGTATGAATAAAAATAATTTGGCTAGAGCATCCTACTATCACCTTATTTTTCTACATATATGCCTGACTGGTCACCTAAAAGAAGTTAATGGCAGTTATCTCTTTCTGCAGTTACAGAGAGAGATTAACCTCAGCTTCCCCCCACATCTTGAGGCAATGAGGACCGATGCTAACATCATTTTGGTAGTGTGTTTTCCTAGCTAGGCTCACACGCCAGGGATTTGATAATGGGGTTTCCAACAACTTTTAGAAGTACTACTCTTTGTTTTCTGACACACATAATGGGATGCTTTCTTCTAGTATTTATAAACTCTTCACAGGATTCAATTTAAAAACACCCAGTAAAGACTACATTTTTTTTTTCCCCAAAAGAGAGGAAAAGAAAATAATAGTAATTTCCACAATGTCACCTCTTCAAAGGGTTTTTCAGTTCTAAAGTAGTACAAAGTGTTAATAAAGCCTTAGTTTATTGAAAAGATATGAACACTTGCACAAATGTTTGACAATTTTATCTCAAGCCTTACATTTGGCAAAACATAGACATAGATGTCATATTTCCCCATGTAATAATTACATATATAAATTGAGAGGTATTATACAATACAGTTAGGAGAACAATGACAGGCCAAACAGCCTGAGTTTAAATCCTGGCTCTGTAGCTTTGTACAAAAGATGCTACATTTCTGTGCCTGTCTTCTCATCTGTAAAATGGAATAATAATGGCAACATCTGTCTCATATTGTTTTTTGAGGATTATCTGAGTTAATAAATGTGGCATGCAGAAATTCAGGCCACTTTACATTTCTTTACAAAATCGTTTAGAAGATCTCATCTTGAAATAAACACAGACTCCCCAAATGGTCTGCTTTTCTTCATATGTTGTCAATTTATTTCAGAAATGCAATTCAGTACAGACACAGCAAGGTCAATTTTTTAAAAGATATTCTAAAGATATTCTAAAAAATTTTATTTTTGAAGTTAAACCCCAAAATTAATATTCACTGATCTGTAAAAAAATTCAAGAATATTTCAAAATTTTAAGAACAAAATCAAAATAATAGAACACAAATAGTATTTTAGTGCACTTCAAGTAGTCTCCAGTGAGTGAATAAAAATTTTAAATGATTCTAAGAGGTAGTGCTTTGGACTTCAGAGACAGTATTATTGTGACAGCAGATTGATATGACTTCGAAATATAGATATACTTTTAGCAATATCTCTCTAGTGTTAGAGAAGATACCTCATTCAAATCACAGTCCCATTACTCTCCCTAGGGCTTAATCTCTTCAGAGATGGGGATGGACTCTCTTGGGTCTGTCTCCCAGGGGCTCGATAAACCCTCAGAATAGCAATGGGGAATCCACCCAATGCCTCATAGTGATTTTCCTAGTGGCTTCAGTCCTCCATACCTTTTTGCTGTGGAGAAATATTCTGTTTTCAGGTCTACCTCCTTATAAGAATGTAGAAATTCTATGTATTCAAGGGAGATATTTCCCTATGGCTTTGGTATGAAGGATGAGAATGTCAATGGGTGCCATGGGAGTTCCGGAATCCCTCCTAACAGACCTCTCTGAATGTCCTCTAAGTGTACATATGATGCTCTCTCATCAGTTTTATAACTGATGCCTAACTTATTTCTGCTGCTCTCACTCTTTACTGCCTCTTGCATTCAGATAACGATCCCCTCATTGTGTTAAACTTTATTGGAAGGGCGAGAAGAAAAGATGCATAAAATATAAAGAGAATGCATCAAATTGGCACTAGAAAAATGTGTTGAAGTGATGCATTAAAATGCAGATCTGACCAAACAAGCCCTCCACATGCAACACTGCAAAGTTCTCCCATTGTATAGACTCCAGTACAAATTCCTATCATACATCCTCTGCTTGCTCACTTATTTTTTTTATAAATAATAGGTATTTAATAAATACATAAGTAAGTGAATGAATCTAACTATATTTCTTTTTATCTTTCTCAATCCTGCCCCATCAATCGAACTAAGCTTCCTGAAGTAAAGATTGATTTGTCATCTATGTTTCCCCAGAACTTAACCTAATGCTGGAGTCATAGTAGATGTGAAACGCATGTTTGTGGGTGGATAGTGGAGAGGGGGAGGGGAGGCGGGAGGAGGAGGGGAGGAGTGCCAGTGACTGACAGTAGTTGTTCTATTACAGGATTACGCTCACTTGGGATGACAATCACCCAGTGTTATGAAGAAGTCGGCCTACTGCTCCTATTTCTGTCCGTGGGAATTTCTATATTCTCAACTGTGGAATATTTTGCTGAGCAGAGCATTCCCGACACAACCTTCACAAGTGTCCCTTGTGCATGGTGGTGGGCCACAACATCCATGACTACGGTGGGCTATGGGGACATTAGACCAGACACCACCACAGGCAAAATCGTGGCCTTCATGTGTATATTATCCGGAATCCTTGTCTTGGCCTTGCCTATTGCTATTATTAACGACCGCTTCTCTGCTTGCTATTTCACCTTAAAGCTCAAGGAAGCAGCTGTTAGACAGCGCGAAGCTCTGAAGAAGCTAACCAAGAACATTGCCACTGACTCATACATCAGCGTTAACCTGAGAGACGTCTATGCCAGGAGCATCATGGAGATGCTGCGACTGAAGGGCAGAGAAAGAGCGAGTACTCGGAGCAGCGGAGGAGATGATTTCTGGTTTTGAATTTGCTTTCAGTTTATTTACAAAAGCTTGTGTAAAACTAAATCAATTGATAAAGCCTTGATTTGGTTGTCTGTGTACTGCCGAGGGGTCTCTGTTGAATACTACCTGTGTTAAGTTTTGCTGATACATTGCTTGGTCTACTAGAAGAGTTCATATCCCCCCAAACAACAGAGCATTGTTTTGATACATTTGAATCTCAAAAACAGCCATTTAATATAACCCAATACAACTAGGCCAATATGCACATGTATTAATTGCCAGATATAAAATAATATTGCAATACATACAACAAAGTTAAAAGTTTTGTGTCTCAAGAATGTTAAAACTAGTTTGTACCACTAATGAAAAAAAAAAAAATGAAAGTTAAACTGCAAAGCCCAGAGAAAAGTCGTGACATTTAAAAACACATTGAAGAACTTTGCTATTTAAAGATATTCCCCAAGTAAATACACCACTCCTTTCTGCATCAGTTCAAGCTGTTGAATACAACAATTAGCTTTGCAAGAGAAAATCCCAGTTTGTTGGTCATAGATTGTGTCCCTATCTTCCCTCTGATGCAAAGCACTGGTCACAAATGGACTGAGCTCTGTATTCCATTATTATTATTGGAGGTGGGGGTCCCCAAAGTACTTAAACTGCAGTAGGAGAGTGCTGTAGAAAGCCTTCGAGAATTGCACATCTTCACCCTCCCCGCTGAGTGCTGTCTGTGGAGTATCAGATATCTTACAGCACTCCACAGAAATGAGATGGTCTTTGGGAATCTCCTTATTGATGTAGTGTTCAACTTATGTCTTTAAAATTATGAATATGCAAAGGTGAAGCAGTGAACATCCTAAATTTATTAAATAGTTTTATTTCGTAAAATGAGAATAATATGTTGAATAATATCACCAGATGAACTTAAAGATCTTTCATTTGTTAAAATACATGGAGTGTTGGGGTACATAACAAATGTTCAAACTTTGCATGCATTTTTACAGCATTTGACAATCATTCATGATGATAATAAAACTCCTAGATATCAGGTTATATAATTAAAACCAAATGCTCTAAACCTAAACATTAATTTATGTTTCCCATAATTCTAGTAAATGAGATTTTTAAAACTAAGAGTAATAGAGAGTTTCACTTTAAAAGCTGCATACTCAATGGTTGTGATAGTGTTCCCAAGTGGAAGAATATTGGTTCTTAGGGGACAAGAATATCTTCCTCTTTACATTCATAAAACACATATATACGTGTAACACATAAACAGATGTAGAGTATATCTACAGTATTAAAATTTCATGGGGTATGAAATGAGAAAAAAAAATCTTTGCCAGGTTTGGGTGTGGTAAGAAATAAACATGAAGAAATACTGCTATTATATATAGCTATACTGTATTTTATCAATTCTACTGAACACACCTTATTATTTTATGAACTACAAAAGAAAGAAAAAGGAAGGAAAGGGGAAGAGAGAGAGAGAGAATGAAAAAGAAAAGCCAATCAATTGTAAGATGCCACCGAGTGTCAAATGCATCCAGATTTTGGCTATGTAAAAATTTAAAGTATGCATCTTAAAATCAATGAAATGTCATATATACTACCTCCAGTGATATGCATGCTTAAGCTCTAAAAACATTTTTATTGATGGCATGAGCTTTAGATTGTATGCTAAAATACTTTAATCCACTGGGCTTGTTTTTCCTAAATATTATGAAAGATTGAGGAGATATGAGTAGAAATAACTAAATATCTCCCCTCTTACACAGTTCATGGTTCTAGAGCATGGCATAAGGCCACAAGTTCTAATTAAATCTGTTCTGCAGTCTGAAGGGCAAAGAAAGTTCAGACACATAAGGCAAACTCACCCTGGCTTCCCCAGAACTCTCTCCAACAAGAACAGTTACTCTGATCCAGGACCACACTCTGTATGCATCATGTTTTATGTACCTTTATCCTCAAAATATCCCCATTATACAATTAGTATTCATGTACTCTTCTAAGTATATATTTTATATATTTATTCATTCAACAAATATTTGTTCAGGACCTAACTCTGTGCTGGGCACTAGAGATTTTTAAACCAGATGAAGTCCCTTTTCTCTTGTATTCAATATTCTATTCGAGGATGTGAGGGGAACACGATGACAAAACTGAGGTATAAAAAGATGAAGTAACTTGCCCACATTTACGCAGCCCATGCATAAGTGACAGAGCCAGGAATCAATTCCAATCTGCTAGACCTTAAAAATGATACTCCTAAAAGTCACATTACATATTTCATTATCCCCATACAACCTATGTAGAGGAATTCACTTTTTAAGCAGGCAAGTCAATTTTCTGTGGGTGAAAAGATTTAATACGCCTTAAAAATATCTGCTTATTCTCAGAGGTGGAATGGTGATTTTAAGGGATTGTTGCTCTCATACCTTATAGTCATTATTAAATAAGAAAAATATTATCTTTAGAATACTTAATAGTTGGAAAATGAAAATGAAAAAACTATATGCATTATATATTTTTTTTTCATACCACAGAAGATTCTAAACATGATCTCCACAATGTGGTATGTTAGCTGCATAAATTTTGTTGTTAAGATGTGGACATTTCAAAAGAAATTTTTAAATATCACTGCTTAGTCAACTTTGCTGTTATATAACATATCAGTGTACTTATTCAACAAATGTACATATAAGTAAGCAAATCAAATTTAAGTAACAAATCAAGGCAGGAACTCTTAATTTTATATCATATCACTTAAAAAACATTTGGCATTTCTTTTAAATCTAAGAATTATTGCTATAGGACAATTTAATTTGTTCGGAAATGTAAATAATGGAATTATTGGCTTTCTTTAACCTCAGAGAATACTAATTAAAAATATTTGCATGCACAGAGGTAATTCTTGAGTAACTAAAGAGCAATTTTAAGGAATTACTGAGGTATCTCTAATAGAAGTGGCATCGTACTTATGTTTTATTGTTTATATATAAGGAATTAATGCATTTATTATTTTAACACAAATTAGTATTAAGTACAATTTATTAGATGCTCAAACAAGTTGACTGAGGTAGAAAACCCTGAACTGTTTCAGTGGAATTCTTACTATCGTTGAAATCTTTTCACTACAGAAAATCTATATACTGACACAAGTTATCTAAGCAAAATATCATCACGGGTGAGCTTACTGCTTTGACAAATTTTTTCACTATATATTTTGTTAACATGAAAAGCCCGTTCTTTTAAAATATTAGCCATTAACACATCTGTCTTATAAATCATTCTACATTCTGAAAGGCAAGATATTGGTTGGCAAGTGATGTGTTATCACCTTGCTGATTTCCTTTGCAAAACACCCCCACTCCTAAATCTCTCTCCAACCCATGCTGAGATACAGCATAAAAATGTCACATAAGGAGAGCTTTATTTATAAACCCCACTGGCAAGTGCTTACATGGTATGTCTTCAGGAGTAATGGGATAACCCATATGCTCACCATCTTCATGTCTTCACTTGCCTTATATGAAAATCTCTCCCTTACCTACCTACCCCCTCAACTCCACTGCCCCTCTATCACTTCTTGCTTTACAGTCAGTAAAACCCAAGCCCTAATTCATCCCTATCCAATGCCTACTTGTGCTTGCACCTGAAGAGTTGATTATAATTACAGAGAAAAATAATGTATGCTGACTACTCTCACTTTACATTCATGCCTGCAATCCCAAATGGGTTCTTAATGCTGCTAGGCAATCATATTGCAATTCCTGAATCTATTCACTCTCTCTAAATAAATATAAACCTCTAACACCTCCCTGTGATTCCATTTTCACTCAGAAAATAGAATCAGATTTTCTGCAAGGTCCAGCACCCACATTTATCCACCTACCTCCATCTGTTCCTATTCATTCTGCCTTTGTTCCTATTATAAGGGTTGAACCGTCCTATCTCTCCTCTCCGACTTTAGAATATTGCTTCAGAAAGTTTTTGCCCTCCTCTACAATACCGTCACTTTTCCTACTGGATCATTTCTATCAGAATACAAACATGATTTAATTTTCCCATCTTAAAAATAAAAACAAAAGTGCACAAACAAACAAAAAGCTCCTCAAGTCTACTTCCTCCAATTGGCTATTCTCCTTTATGACAAAGCTCCTCTACAGCATTTTCGATACTCACTCTCTCCATTTCTATATCCACTTTTCCCCCTATTTTTTCTTGAAAAACCACTCAAGTCAGTCTCACATCTCTATTTCCTCTAAAACTGTTCTTCCCCGGGTCAGCAAATACACCTTCAATGCTAAACCTAATTATTAATTCTCAGACTTTATATTACTTGATCCATAGGCAGCAGTTAAAATTATGGGCTTCCTTGAAACATTTTCTTCCCTCAACTTCTAGCCCACCACACTCTCCTGAATGTGCCCCATCCCACTGTTGATTCATTTTTTCTGGTTGAAGTGGGTCTGTCAGAGCTTAATCCTAAGTGCTCTTCTCCTCTCTATTTACATTGCTCCCTTGGTAAAGTCATCCTACTCTACGGCTTAAATACCAGTGATGCTTGGTCAACTCCCAAATCTCTGTCTGCAAACTAGACCTCTCCTCTCATTTCCTGCATCTTCAGTCTTATGTATCTAACTGTCTACTCGATATCTACATCTATAACCCAATACATACCTCATGTTTAGCACAGTTAATACCAAATTATTGATATTCTCTCAAACTCTATGTTAGTTTAAGTTCGCTGAGAAGAAGATGCCAAGACAAGTGATTATCATAATATCAATTATGTGCAAGACATTTGCTGGGGGCGGGGCGGGGGGGAGTTCTAAAGAATTATCTTGAGAAAGTGGGAAGAATCTTCAGGCCATGATGCAGATCTGACACATGAGAGGAAGAAGGAAAGAGGAAAATTGGACTTAAAAAAGGTCTCTGATTATGGTCCAGTGCTAAGAAAATATCAGCCAGGTTGATGGAGAGTCCTGAGCAAAAGCAACCTGTTAAAGAGTTCCACCTCTTTTAGAAATGGGATTACGTTAATACTTTGGCAGGGAAGTAGCTCGGGCTGTCAGTAACCAGGCCCCTTCTGGAAGAGATCTGAGCAGCGCATTTTCATGGCCACCACAGGCAAGCCCTGGACCCACACAGGGCGCTTCCCCAAGCATGTGCAGAAGTAGCCCCTCTGTGGATCCCATGGGCCGCTCTCTCTGCGGG